AGGGGGTCCTGGGTCCCCACAGAGCTGCTGAGGGGAGGTGGGGACACGGCAGAGCCCGGGACTCCATCGGAGCTGGGGATGAACAGAGGGGGGGTTTGGGGACAATTTGGGGGTCCCCAGAGCCCGGTACCCAATTGTGGGGGAGTCCCCAGACCCTTTTGTCCCCACCGAGGGGTCTGGAGCCCCCCCTGTCCACACCGAGGGGTCTGGAGCCCCCCTGTCCCCCCACTGAGGGGTCTGGAGCCCCCCTGTCCCCTCAGAAGGGGTCTGGAGGCCCCCTATCCCCACAGAGGGGGTCTGGAGGTCTGGAGCCCCCCTGTCCCCCCCCAGAGGGGTCTGGAGCCCCCGTGTCCCCCCACCGAGGGGTCCGGAGCCCCCCGGGGGTCCCTCAGCTCTGGCTGTCCCCGCAGGTGTCCGAGCACCCCCCGGGCGCCCCGGAGGAGGCCGAGGGCTCGGGGGCGGCCCCCGAGGAGGACGGGGGCGCGGCGGGGGGCGCGGAGGCGGGGGGCGCGGAGGAGCCCGAGGTCTATTACTTCCTGGAGGAGAGCACGGGCTACATGGGCCCGGCGCTGCGGGGGCTGGCGCTGGCACACACGCTGGTGGCCTTCCTGTGCATCATCGGCTACAACTGCCTCAAGGTGACAGCCGCCTGTCCCCGGAGCCGCCTGTGTGTGTGGCACCAAACCCCCCTGTGTGTGTGTGTCACCAAATATCCCTGTGTGTGTCACCAAACACCCGTGTGTGTGTGTCACCAAACCCCCGTGTGTGTGTCACCAAACCCCTGTGTGTGTCACCAAACACCCGTGTGTGTGTGTCACCAAATTCCTGTGTGTCACCAAACCCGTGTGTGTCACCAGAGCCCCCTGTGTGTGTGTCACCAAACACCTGTGTGTGTGGCACCAAACACCTGTGTGTGTGTCACCAAACACCTGTGTGTGTGGCACCAAACACCTGTGTGTGTGTCACCAAACCCATGTGTGTGTGTCCCCAGAACCCTGTGTGTGTGTCACCTAACATCACCGCGTGTGTGTGTGTGTGTGTGTGCCCAAACACCTGTGTGGCACCAAACACCCCTGTGTGTGTGTGTGTGTGTGTGTGTCACAACATCTGTGTGTGTCACCAAACCCCTGTGTCCCCAGAGCCCCCCGTGTGTGTCCCCAAATCTCTGTGTGTGTCCCCAAACCCTGTGTGTGTCCCCAAAGCCTTGTGTGTGTGTGTCACCAAATACCCCCGTGTGTGTGTGTGTCACTGAACATCTGTGTGTGTCACCAAACACCCCCCTGTGTATGTCGCCAAATTCCTGTGTGTCCCCAAATCTCGGTGTGTGTGTCCCCAAACCCTGTGTGTCCCCAGCTCCTGTGTGACCCCCCCATGACCCCAGTGTCCCCTGGGACCCCCTGGTGTCCTCAATGTCCCCTGTGACCCCCCCGTGTCCCTGGTGTCCCTGTGACCCCCCCGTGTCCTCCCCTGGGTGGTTCTAGGGGGTGGTCAGACACCTCATGGGTCTGGGGTCTCCCCTGGGTGGTTCTAGGGGGTGGTCAGACACCTCATGGGTCTGGGGTCTCCCCTGGGGGGCTCCCCACCCCTCTTGGGGGTATCCCCACCCGCTGACCCCCCCCTTTTTTCCCCCCAGGATCACATCCATCGACATCCGCTACCAGATCTGGAAATTCGGGGTGATTTTCACCGATAACGTGAGCGTGGGCAGGGGGGCTGCTGGGGGGGGCTCACCTGGGCCTGTAGGACCCCCTTCCCCACCCAGTGAACTTTTGGGGTGACCCCCACCTGTGTGCCCCCTCCCCAGTCCTTCCTGTACCTCACCTGGTACATGGCCATGTCCCTGCTGGGCCACTACAACAACTTCTTCTTCGCCTCGCACCTGCTGGACATCGCCATGGGCGTCAAGACGCTGCGCACCATCCTCTCCTCCGTCACCCACAACGGCAAGCAGGTGTGGGGGCATCCCTGGGGGGGCTCGGGGAGGGGGTCCCCTGAGCCCCCCTGACCCCTCTGTGCCCAGCTGGTGATGACGGTGGGGCTGCTGGCCGTGGTGGTCTACCTGTACACCGTGGTGGCCTTCAACTTCTTCCGCAAGTTCTACAACAAGAGCGAGGATGAGGATGAGCCCGACATGAAGTGTGACGACATGATGACGGTGAGGGGGGGGGGTCCCGGGGGGGTCTCCAGGTGGGTTTTTGGGGTTCTCCGGGGGTCCCTGACCTCCCTTTGTGCCCTCTCCAGTGTTACCTGTTCCACATGTACGTGGGGGTCCGGGCCGGGGGCGGCATCGGGGACGAGATCGAGGACCCTGCGGGGGACGACTACGAGCTGTACCGGGTGGTCTTCGACATCACCTTCTTCTTCTTCGTCATCGTCATCCTCCTGGCCATCATCCAGGGTGGGCACCCCATGTGGGGGGGCTGGCAGGGGGTGGGGAGGGGAAAAGCGGGGGAAGCGTGAGGGGAAAAGGGGGATAATGTGAGGGGAAAAGGGCAGGAAACGTGAGGGGAAAATGGTTGGGAAACGTGAGGGGAAAAGGGGGAGAATGTGAGGGGGGAAAGGGCAGAAATCGTGAGGGGAAAAGAGGGAAATATGAGGAGGAAAAGGGCGTGAATCATGAGAGGAAAAGAGACAGAAAAAGGGGGGGAAACTTGAGGGGAAAAAGGGCGTGAATCATGAGAGGAAAAGAGACAGGAAAAGGGGGGGAAATTTGAGGGGAAAAGGGGGGGAATGTGAGGGGAAAAGGGCGGGAAATCATGAGGGGAAAATAGGAAAATATGAGGAGGAAAAGGGCATAATCATGAGAGGAAAAGAGAGAGGAAAAGGGGGAAACGTGAGGGGAAAAAGGGCAGGAAATCATGAGGGGGAAAGGGGGGGAAATGTGAGGGGAAAACAGGGAAATGTGAGGGGGGAAATGGCGTGAATTATGAGAGGAAAAGAGAGAGGAAAAGCGGGGGAAGCGTGAGGGGAAAAGGGGGATAATGTGAGGGGAAAAGGGCGGGAAATCATGAGGGGAAAGGGGGGGAAATGTGAGGGGAAAACAGGGAAATGTGAGGGGGGAAATGGCGTGAATTATGAGAGGAAAAGAGAGGGAAACATGAAGAGAAAAGAGAGGGAAACGTGAGGGGAAAAAGGGGGATAATGTGAGGGGAAAAGGGCGGGAAATCATGAGGGGAAAAGGGGGGAATGTGAGGGGAAAAGGGGAATGTGAGGGGAAAAAGGGTAGAAATCGTGAGGGGAAAAGAGGGAAATATGAGGGGGAAAAGGGCATGAATCATGAGAGGAAAAGAGAGAGGAAAAGGGGGAAACGTGAGGGGAAAAAGGGCAGGAAATCATGAGGGGGAAAGGGGGGGAAATGTGAGGGGAAAACAGGGAAATGTGAGGGGGGAAATGGCATGAATTATGAGAGGAAAAGAGAGAGGAAAAGCGGGGGAAGCGTGAGGGGAAAAGGGGGATAATGTGAGGGGAAAAGGGCAGGAAACGTGAGGGGAAAATGGTTGGGAAACGTGAGGGGAAAAGGGGGAGAATGTGAGGGGGAAAAGGGCAGAAATCGTGAGGGGAAAAGAGGGAAATATGAGGAGGAAAAGGGCGTGAATCATGAGAGGAAAAGAGACAGAAAAAGGGGGGGAAACTTGAGGGGAAAAAGGGCGTGAATCATGAGAGGAAAAGAGACAGGAAAAGGGGGGGAAATTTGAGGGGAAAAGGGGGGGAATGTGAGGGGAAAAGGGCAGGAAACGTGAGGGGAAAAGGGGGAGAATGTGAGGGAGAAAAGGGCAGAAATCGTGAGGGGAAAAGAGGGAAATATGAGGGGGAAAAGGGCGTGAATCATGAGAGGAAAAGAGAGAGGAAAAGGGGGAAACGTGAGGGGAAAAAGGGCAGGAAATCATGAGGGGGAAAGGGGGGGAAATGTGAGGGGAAAACAGGGAAATGTGAGGGGGGAAATGGCATGAATTATGAGAGGAAAAGAGAGAGGAAAAGCGGGGGAAGCGTGAGGGGAAAAGGGGGATAATGTGAGGGGAAAAGGGCAGGAAACGTGAGGGGAAAATGGTTGGGAAACGTGAGGGGAAAAGGGGGAGAATGTGAGGGGGAAAAGGGCAGAAATCGTGAGGGGAAAAGAGGGAAATATGAGGAGGAAAAGGGCGTGAATCATGAGAGGAAAAGAGACAGAAAAAGGGGGGGAAACTTGAGGGGAAAAAGGGCGTGAATCATGAGAGGAAAAGAGACAGGAAAAGGGGGGGAAATTTGAGGGGAAAAGGGGGGGAATGTGAGGGGAAAAGGGCAGGAAACGTGAGGGGAAAAGGGGGAGAATGTGAGGGAGAAAAGGGCAGAAATCGTGAGGGGAAAAGAGGGAAATATGAGGGGGAAAAGGGCGTGAATCATGAGAGGAAAAGAGAGAGGAAAAGGGGGAAACGTGAGGGGAAAAAGGGCAGGAAATCATGAGGGGGAAAGGGGGGGAAATGTGAGGGGAAAACAGGGAAATGTGAGGGGGGAAATGGCATGAATTATGAGAGGAAAAGAGAGAGGAAAAGCGGGGGAAGCGTGAGGGGAAAAGGGGGATAATGTGAGGGGAAAAGGGCAGGAAACGTGAGGGGAAAATGGTTGGGAAACGTGAGGGGAAAAGGGGGAGAATGTGAGGGGGAAAAGGGCAGAAATCGTGAGGGGAAAAGAGGGAAATATGAGGAGGAAAAGGGCGTGAATCATGAGAGGAAAAGAGACAGAAAAAGGGGGGGAAACTTGAGGGGAAAAAGGGCGTGAATCATGAGAGGAAAAGAGACAGGAAAAGGGGGGGAAATTTGAGGGGAAAAGGGGGGGAATGTGAGGGGAAAAGGGCAGGAAACGTGAGGGGAAAAGGGGGAGAATGTGAGGGAGAAAAGGGCAGAAATCGTGAGGGGAAAAGAGGGAAATATGAGGGGGAAAAGGGCGTGAATCATGAGAGGAAAAGAGAGAGGAAAAGGGGGAAACGTGAGGGGAAAAAGGGCAGGAAATCATGAGGGGGAAAGGGGGGGAAATGTGAGGGGAAAACAGGGAAATGTGAGGGGGGAAATGGCATGAATTATGAGAGGAAAAGAGAGAGGAAAAGCGGGGGAAGCGTGAGGGGAAAAGGGGGATAATGTGAGGGGAAAAGGGCAGGAAACGTGAGGGGAAAATGGTTGGGAAACGTGAGGGGAAAAGGGGGAGAATGTGAGGGGGAAAAGGGCAGAAATCGTGAGGGGAAAAGAGGGAAATATGAGGAGGAAAAGGGCGTGAATCATGAGAGGAAAAGAGACAGAAAAAGGGGGGGAAACTTGAGGGGAAAAAGGGCGTGAATCATGAGAGGAAAAGAGACAGGAAAAGGGGGGGAAATTTGAGGGGAAAAGGGGGGGAATGTGAGGGGAAAAGGGCAGGAAACGTGAGGGGAAAAGGGGGAGAATGTGAGGGAGAAAAGGGCAGAAATCGTGAGGGGAAAAGAGGGAAATATGAGGGGGAAAAGGGCGTGAATCATGAGAGGAAAAGAGAGAGGAAAAGGGGGAAACGTGAGGGGAAAAAGGGCAGGAAATCATGAGGGGGAAAGGGGGGGAAATGTGAGGGGAAAACAGGGAAATGTGAGGGGGGAAATGGCATGAATTATGAGAGGAAAAGAGAGAGGAAAAGCGGGGGAAGCGTGAGGGGAAAAGGGGGATAATGTGAGGGGAAAAGGGCAGGAAACGTGAGGGGAAAATGGTTGGGAAACGTGAGGGGAAAAGGGGGAGAATGTGAGGGGGAAAAGGGCAGAAATCGTGAGGGGAAAAGAGGGAAATATGAGGAGGAAAAGGGCGTGAATCATGAGAGGAAAAGAGACAGAAAAAGGGGGGGAAACTTGAGGGGAAAAAGGGCGTGAATCATGAGAGGAAAAGAGACAGGAAAAGGGGGGGAAATTTGAGGGGAAAAGGGGGGGAATGTGAGGGGAAAAGGGCAGGAAACGTGAGGGGAAAAGGGGGAGAATGTGAGGGAGAAAAGGGCAGAAATCGTGAGGGGAAAAGAGGGAAATATGAGGGGGAAAAGGGCGTGAATCATGAGAGGAAAAGAGAGAGGAAAAGGGGGAAACGTGAGGGGAAAAAGGGCAGGAAATCATGAGGGGGAAAGGGGGGGAAATGTGAGGGGAAAACAGGGAAATGTGAGGGGGGAAATGGCATGAATTATGAGAGGAAAAGAGAGAGGAAAGGGACACCCCAAACACAGGGAACCCCCAAATCCAGGGGAAACCCCCCCAGGGAACCCCCAAATCCAGAGGAAACCCCTCCAAGGAACCCCCAAATCCAGAGGAAACCCCCCCAGGGAACCCCCAAATCCAGGGGGACTTCACCCTCTGCAAGTGCATGATCGACCAGGCTCACGTATCCTGGGATACCCCGAATCTGGGGGGGCACCCCAAATCCGGGACACCCCAAACACAGGGAACCCCCCTGGGAACCCCCAAATCCAGGGGGAACCCCCCAAGGAACCCCCAAATCCAGAGGAACTTCACCCTCTTCAAGTGCATGATCGACCAGGCTCACGTATCCTGGCACCCCAAATCTGGGGGAAGCCCCCAGGGAACCCCCCCAAATCCAGGGGGAACTCCCCAGTTCCAGAGGGAATCCCCCAGGGAACCCCCCCAATTCCATGGGGAACCCCAAATTCCATAAGGACCCCCCAAACCTCCCCAGGGACCCCCCCTTTCCCTGCCCGACACCTCCCAGTCCCACTCCAGAGAGATCAAACCTGGTGGTTTTCCCCTCAAAATCCCCCCCAAATTTGGATTTTGGGACCTGGGGGAGGGAGGTTTTTGGGGTTCAGCCCAGGGGGCACCTGCACTCCCCCTTTTTCCCCCCAAATTTTCCCTTGACCTCCCCAAAACTCAGCAAGAGGAGCGGCCCATCCGACAGATCCTGTACCACCCCCCCAATTCCATGGGGAACCCCAAATTCCATAAGGACCCCCCAAACCTCCCCAGGGACCCCCCCTTTCCCTGCCCGACACCTCCCAGTCCCACTCCAGAGAGATCAAACCTGGTGGTTTTCCCCTCAAAATCCCCCCCAGATTTGGATTTTGGGACCTGGGGGAGGGAGGTTTTTGGGGTTCAGCCCAGGGGGCACCTGCACTCCCCCTTTTTCCCCCCAAATTTTCCCTTGACCTCCCCAAAACTCAGCAAGAGGAGCGGCCCATCCGACAGATCCTGTACCTGGGGGAGCTGCTGGAGACCTGCCACTTCCAGTCCTTCTGGGTGAGCCCCCCAAAACTGGGGTCCCCAAAACCCTGGGGGGGGTTTGGAGACAAAGGGGGAGCCCTAAACATGGGGGTGACCCCCGGAATTCCGGCAGCAAGCGCTGGATGAGAACATGGAGCTGCTGGAGGGGATCACCGGCTTCGAGGACTCCGTCAGGAAATGTGAGGGGCATCTGGGGGGTCCCTGGGGGGGTTTTGGGGGGCTTAGAGGGAATCATCAGGGGCTTTGGGGGGTCCTGGGAAGGCTTTGGGGGGTCCTGAAAGGTTTTAGGGGAAGTTGGGGAGATTCTTCAGGTGCTTTGGGGAGGTTTTGGGGGACCTGGAGGACATTTTGGGGGGTCTTGAAAGGTTTTAGGGGGGCTTGGAGGGAATCTTTGGGGGTCCTGGGTAGTTTTTGTGGGCCCTGGAGGGGTTTGGAGGGTATCTTGAGGGGCTTTGGGGAGGTTTTGGGGGCCCTGGGGGGGTTTGGAGGCAATCTTGAGGGGGTTTTGGGGGTCCTGGGTTATCTTTAGGGGTTCCTGGAGGAACCTGGGGGTGCTTCAGGGGGGATTTGAGGGTCCCTGAGGGGGTTTTGGGGTACAGAGGGGTCCTGGGAGGGGAATTGGGGCATCCTGGAGAGGATTTTTGTGATTCTGGGGAGGTCCCAAGGGGTTGTTCGGGGGTCTGGGGGGGCGTTGTGGGGGTTCTGGGCAGTTTTGGGGGGCTCGGTGTCACCGTGGGGGTCCCCACAGTCATTTGCCACGTGGTGGGGATCACGTACCAGCACATCGACCGCTGGCTGCTCGCCGAGATGCTGGGAGACCTCTCAGGTGAGGGGGCTGGGGGTCCTGAGCAGGGTTTTGGGGGGTCCCAGGTGGAAGGTGGGTTCTGGAGGGAGCTTGGGAGGGTCCTGAGGGGGTTTGGGGAGCCCTGGATGGGATTTTGGGTGTCCTGTGATGGGGTTTGGGGGGGGTCCGAGTCCTGAAGGGTT